GCGTCTTGCGCTGCATCAGCTTCACGATCATATATGTTTGCGACCTCTAGCCTTGTACCACCAGTTCATCATCGGCGGCCGGCGTACTTCGGACGACTCGCGAGAAGGCCGTTCGAAGCAGGCATAATCGTTTGCGGATTTGCTCCGATAGGACGCGAGTCCAACCAGGAGGAGGAAGATCTTGAAAAGAGGGGGGGGGGGGGGAAAGACGAAGGAGGGAGGAGGGAGTAGGAGAATTAGGAGGTAGGAGGAGGAAGGAGGGACTTGTGCTGATGACGGAGGAGGGAGGAGACAGGCAAAGGGAGAGGACGGAGCGTTGGAGGGGAGGTGGGAAGTGGCGGTGGAGGGGGAGGGCGGAGCGTCAGGAAGGATGGACGGTGGGATGAGGGGATTAAAGGAGGAGATGAGGGAGGAAGGGGAAGCAGCGACAGGGGCAGAGAGGGAGAGAGGAGCGACCGAACGCAAGGAGGACGGGGAGCGCAGGGAGGGAGGACAGGAAGGGCAGGGGACAGGAGAGAGGGAGAGCAAGGAGGGACAGAGCGAGTGAGGGAGGGAGAGGAGGGAGGAGGCGAAGGAGAAATTGGGAAAAACAAGAGTTACAGGGTGAGTATGAGCAAGGGGATGAAGAGCAGGAGTGGACGACTTGGACAAGGAGTATGAGGAATGAGGAGGTTGCGAGGAGGAGGGGGGGGAAGTTGGTAGAAGTCTCGGCCTCCATGCTCGAGCCCCCCTCCACCGGCAGGACCACTTCCTTGCCAGGAACCGTGCATTCAGCCAGTGGACGCCCCAGCAGCTTGGCTTGTTAGCGGAGGTATGTGTGCGACGTTGCATTCATCCACTCAGTTTGCTTATGCTCGATTGCGTGTTCTTCCCCAACCAGTTCTTGCGTTAGGGCGCCTTAGTTCTATGTATGGAATTCGCCTGCGTTTCCGTGCTCTCGCCCAGTGGTCTTTGCGTGGCCGCTCCTTTGCGTTGGTTGGCGTGCCCAGGTTTTCGCATGGGCAAGTGGCCGCCTCGTGTGGCCTTCTATGCGTCAGCTGGCGTCCCACGCCGTTCTTCCATGCTGTCTAGAGGCGCTCTTCGGGCGGGGCTAGGACGATGCTGAATCCGTTCCAATGCGTTCCGGAACGCTCTCAGAGCGTTCCAGAATGCGTTGAGAAGGCCTTGGCGCCCGAGACATCTTGCAGAGCCGCCGCATCTCAGAGGTTCCCGATTCATCCTGAGCCGATTTCATCTTCGTCCTGGCTTCGTCTTATCCCTCATCGGTTGCGACTCCAACCTTCATGAAGACTGCTCGGAAACTGCAGGAGGTCTGGGGAATCCGCGAAGCGCTGTGGCTCGGGCCCTCCCTTGGCATCCCAAGCTGGGTGGGCAGGCTGTGTCTGACGCCAGGGGCCGCCTCGTCTCCTGAAGCCCCAAGTGTTGAGGGCCTCCTCCGACGACCCCAGGGAGGCCTTCCCGTGCCCAGATGTTCAGCGCGGTTAAGCGCACTTCGAGTAGGGGATCGACTACAGAATAGATTTATCCCGAAACTGTTTTTGCTCGTCGAATTTACGGAGAATGCGTAGAATTGTTGTCGGATCTACGAAGCTTCTGCATATGCTCGTATATCCGACGATCAAATCAATTCTGAGGTACACGCCAGTCGTTGGGAGTAGATATTTTGGATGCCCAAGCCCCAATCTATTTCAGGTGCCTTCCTACGTCAATGATCGAGTGGCTTCACCTTGTCCGTCCTTTTCAGAGGGCGGGCGGGAGGGAACCCAATATGCTTCCAACGCCATCCTACTTCGTGGCTCTACTCACTTCTTCCGACCGCCGGGTAGATCAGTTCTGTAGTCGATAGCCTACTCGAGCAGTGCGGTCTGGACTGGGAGCAGGTGGCGGAGCTTCGCGCAAGGGTCGAGGACCGGGACACAGCGGGGCCCCCGTCGGTCCCGCGAGGGTGAAGTTGGCCCCCTTCGCGGAGCAGAGCGACGGAGGAGAAGGAGGAGGACCACTGTAAACCCAAGAGTCAGCACCGATGTTGGAATTAACTTTCCCTCCAAGCTCCCTGTGCATAGGCACCTAGAACGGTCCATTTCCATTGAGGGAACTGCCTCGTTGAAAGACAACCGTTTGAAGACCCTGCAGCATGCCAAAACAGTGTTCCCGGGATTCCAACGCCACGGATCAACTTGGATTGCTGCGTCTTGACGATCCGGAATCGTGCCAGAACGCCGTTTTTGATTTCGACACCGCGACTCAACATAGTTGCTGCACCCGCATAATCCTGAACCCTTCCAAAACACAAGTTCTGGTACGCTGATCATGGGAGTCCGTGACACCCTTCCACACTTTTGAAACGACCGCGCGCGCCGCTAAGGCGAGAGCCACATTCGGAAAAAGAAACCGCCCTCAATCCGTGAAGCTCTTGCAATTTTTTGAAACGAATGTGCGCGGCGTTAAGGCAAGAGCCACACTTTGAAAACGACCCGCCCTCAATCCGTGAAACTCTTCCTATTTGTTATAAGCGAATGTGCGCGGCGTTCAGACGAAAGCCACAGTTTGAAAACCACGCCCTCCATCCGTGAATATCTGTGCAATTGTTTGAAACGAATAGGCGCGGCATTAAGACGAAAGCCACATTTTGAAAACCACGCCCTCCATCCGTGAAACTCTTTGCAAGTGTTTGAAACGAATGCGCGCGGCGTTACGACGAAAACCACATTTTGAAAGCCACGCCCTCCATCCGTGAAGCTCTTTGCAAGTTGTTGAAACGAATGTGCGCGGCGCTACGGCGAGAGCCACATGTTGAAAACCACCCGCCCCCAATCCGTAAAACTCTCGCAAATATTTAACAACGAATGTGCGCGGCGCTAAGGCGAAGGTCACATTTTGAAAACCACGCCATCCATCCGTGAATACATGTGCAATTGTTTGAAACGAATGTGCGCGGCGTTCAGACGAAAGCCACATTTTAAACACCACGCCCCCCATCCGTGAAACTCTTTGCAAGTTGTTGAAACGAATGTGCGCGGCGCTTAGGCGAGATCCACATTTTGAAAACCACCCGCCCTCCATCTTCGAAACCGCTGCCATTTCTTATGCTTCGGAGTCATAAATGGTGAGGAAGTCTCAGGCGAAACGCCTGGCCCGCCCTGAAAACTGGCCTCGGAGTGCAACAGGGAGAAGCTGTTTATAAGGAAAAGGAGAGGAGGAGGAGGAGGAGGAGGAGGAGGAGGAGGAGGAGGAGGAGGAGGAGGGGGGGGAGGGAGGGGCAGGTGGAGGGGCAGGCAAGAGCAGCAGCAGGAGGAGGAGGAGGATGAAGAGGAGACGGAGACGGAGACGGAGGCACCATCCAGAGAAATTGATGCATGGGGCCTGGGGAGGAGTTGCCATAGGAGTTCCAGCGTGTATCGGCATGGGTAGTCCACCCGAGTTATCCCAACTCCCGTCTCCTCATCGAACTTTGATCAAAAGTGGGCCAGCGCTTTTCTTACAGGAGAGCCTTGGTGGTTTCAACACATATATATGTGTGTGTGTGTGTGCCGACGTCCGACCCCTTCGGCCCAGAAGGGACTCTGCTGATAATCCGCCTAGGAGGGCGTCTTCACTCTGCAGGTTTACCGTTCTTGATTGGTGGCGGCTGGACGCCCCACCAGCGAGCTCTCTTGGGACGTATTGGCTGGCCGAGCAGGCTCGGAGCTAGGATCATTGCTCCTTTAAGCACGTACTTGCCCGTGTGGCAGGCGGGAATGGAGGACGCGCGACGGTTTCCTGATTTCAGAGGCTCTTGCACCTTCGCTTGTGTCGTGCCAAGTGCCGCTCGGATCCAATATCAAACCTCATCCCGTTCGGCTCGTCATGAGAAGCAGACCGACATTGCAGATGATGACCACCCTCACGGCCCCCAAGAAGTTCCCCAAGGAACGCCCAGTAGGACCCGTTCCAAGACCTCCTCGAGCATTGCCGCAGGTTGTCACTGCACTCGAGAACCAGGGTACCCAGCAGGACCTCGATTTTTCTTTTGGGCAATTCATGGATTTGGTGGAGCACGAGCTCCTTGTTGCTTACGGCATTCCTGACGCTGAACGATCTCGGTACACAAGCCGAGGACACTGGTGGAAAGTAAAGATTGCCCCCGTCCTTCCCCCTGTCACAGGCCCCTTCCCTGTCGCCTGTCTTGTGAGCAGGGGTTGGAGGCGGTGGAGCAATTGTAACAGGAGTTCGCCCATTCACGCCCCCAGGAGTTTGTTAAGGACACCGTAGGAGCTGCATTGTGTGTTCTTACGTTTTGCCTCAAGGGCCTACCTGCGAAAAACATGCAGTTTTGTTCGCCAAGATCTTGATCGCCACCCCCCCCCCTCGACAGGCCCAGCGAAAAGTGGAAAGGAATGTGGTATCTTACTCCAGGATGTCCCCCTTGGTGCGATTCGAGTGCCCTCATGGACTTGCATGATTCGGCTGGAGGCCACGCCGAGAAGCTAGAAGCCAGGTTTGCTAGCACTCGCGCCCGACAGTGGAGGGATTTTGTCCGGTAGGCAGTGCAGGCAAAAGGATGTACATTTCATCAATACACCCAGCATCCTCTTGGTTGGCGCCCCTGGCCCCCCGTAAAAGATCGGCCTCCTCCTGGGCCAGCAGAATGTAGTGATCAACCTTTTCTTGAGTGGGAGTCGATTTGGGGGCTCCGATGGTGTCGAGTCCAAGCCTCTGCAAGATCCAGACAAAGTGTTTGACGAGCTTCGCGGCTTGCTTGATAACCAGCAGTGCCCTGTCCGTCATGTTTCACCAGACGGGATCCGAGGCGCCGCACGGAAAATGAACGCCTGGGCTGCTCATGGAATTGATAGATTAGGTCATCGAGATGTGTTTCTTCGTTCTGGCGAATGCCTAGAAGCTTTGAATTTGGTCGGGGTTTGGATGCTGCAGGGTGGTGTTCTACCTGCCCAAGCTGAACAGTGCAGCCAACACTACCTAAACTTGACGACGACGGACAGCGACCCGATAGCCTTACA